CTGAGCTTGAAAACTTCTCCTGTATTACCAAACATTAGTATTTGGTTAAGTAAGTTAAGAGTTCAAACCTCTATTAACAAAAATCTGGCAAACATTTACTCAGGCGTTCTTTATAATCAATAGAAATTGCCACTGCTGTATTAATCATGCTGATTTTCATCCCTGATTGAGAAAATAACATAGAGTATTTTAACTCTTTATTCATCAATTGATTTAAATTGCTTGCTTAGCATCTTTTCGATCTTTTGTGGCCCATTAAAGAGAAATCCATAAATTTGCGTTTAGTGTACACATAGTCCACTTCCATTTGGAGCCATGAGATGGTCCATCTTGTTTAAAAGTGGGAATTAGAAGAATTGCTTTTCATCATTTCCAATTACAGATCTGTTGTCTTGCTAGACATCACAGCTATAATTGATGCACTTTTCTTTTTTGATAAATGGCAAAGCTTAAATTTTCAGGCCAATAAGTTATGTAAATTGCAGCCATACTTTATATTTTGCTTCCACTTCTGATATTTTTTATTACATTGTGGAGAAATGAATTGGGACTGACGTGGTATTGTTTACAGCTCTCTTCGATTTTTTTTGTTAGCCTTTTAATCCAGATACAGGAATCTATTATGAGCTAAGCTCTCCGTGGTATTAAAAGCCTTCTACTTGGAGATGATGATACAGGGCAATTAACCTTGACCCAAGATTCAGTGAGCAGCTTTGGTAATTTGACAGATCAGGGCATAAGGATGTATGCTATACACTTTATAATTTAAGATACTGATATTCTTTTTAAGAGAGCTAATTGTACATTTGCCTTTTGCATTTTAATAAAAAGAAATGAAAGCAAGTTTCCCCAAATTCAGATGATGCCCTTTCATTATCATGAACTTAGATAATTGAATCTTCTATTTGAAACATATTAGAATAGAGCAGTGGTTCTCAACACGGGGGTCGTGACCCCTCTGGGGGTCACATAGCAAATATGCTGCAATCAGATATTTACATTATAATTCGTAACAGTAGCAAAGTTACAGTTATGAAGTAGCAATGAAATAATTTCATGGCTGGGGCTCATCACAAAATGAGGAACCGTATTAAAGAGCCACAGCATTAGGAAGGTTGAGAAACACTGGTATAGAGAATCTTTGAAGCAAGGCCCCAAATCTGATCTTGGCTGTGCCTCTCTTTATGACTAATAAGTTAATCCTACCTGATAGGCATGTGAGGAAGATACCCCATCATGTAAAATGGAGCTTATTCTAATGGTTGACTCAATAAATGTGCTTATAGCAGGATGTTTAAATGGAATTTTTGACAGGATGTCAGATAAAATAGGAGTAGAATTCAAAAGTCAGATACTCATAGTCAGACAGGCATTGCTGCTCTGGGGCCCTTTGGCTTGTTAAAGACTTTAGAAGGGTACACAGCGTGGAAGAGGGGAAATTTGTCATGTTGGTTGTGGGGATAGCCATGGGCACATTATACATTTTCCCCTTTTTTTCAGGGCACATGGTGGGTCCCAAACCTAGTTGTGGATCTTCAGGAAGGTGACTCTGGAACTTCTCCATGCTCTGCACAGTTGGCAGTTCCTAACACAGGTTCCTAACATAGGCTGAGAAATGAACACAGGCTGTGCCCAGGGGTTAGAGGTGCCTTGTGGCATTACTGCCAACTCCCAATAAATCAGTTGTGAAGAAAAGCACCACTCCATCCATTGAGAATACTCTCTTAGAAACACACACTATCCTCTTCCTTGAACAAATGTACCAGGGATCCATAGGTCTGGAGGAAATTTGGAATTTGGGGTTCCATCTCAATAGGATTCTACTGGAAGATGAGTGGTCACATTCAGAAGAGAACATGGTCTAAGAAAGAAGCTGACAAAGGAAGAAGCCGAGAGCCTATGGATTCTAGCAAGCCTAGGGAACGCCTACCCTTCCACTGCAGTGAGATAGCGTGCAGGGATGTGAAGTTCAGAGGACACAGGAGAGTGCCCAAGGAATGAGCCAGTGGGATCAACTGTGAAGCCCGTTAGCCTTGATGAGGTTTCCATCAACCTTTCCTACCTCACTCTCTCCTTTCTCTGCTTCATAAAACCTGACAGTCCAGAGCTCATTAGGAAGAAGGTAGAGGAAAGAGAAACTCTGGGTAGAAAAAGAGAGATGGAATCACTCACACCACACTTACCTTTCAGCCTGAAGCAGACCCATGAGCTGGGAGGGGAGACAGACAGACATCAAGGAATGGGTCTTGTGGTACTCTCTTGGAAAGGGCATTTTAAGTTGGTATGAAAATGGTACTTTAGTTGAAAGTAGGACTTTGTGATGGATAAAAGTGAGCAGAGGAACTGTACAGGGTTTTCTATAGGGACTCAGCTGTGCCGTCCTTGCTGAATACAAATTCAAGTGTGCCAGGAAGAAAATTAAAGCTATACAAGCGAGCATCAGTTGTGCTGGTCTGCTGCGTTGGGTACAAGACTGCGGGTGATGCTGTTGTATGTAGAAGGGCTATCTTCAATTTCAGCTTCAGTATTGCATTCAGATGGTTCTCAGCTTTGTGTGATCTTTCCTTTGCTGCTTTTGGCTCGTAACAATGCTCTGTATCCCAAGCCGGTTCCTTTAGTGACGAAGGAGGATGTCTTGTAACCAGGTTTCTCACAGTCATCACCAGAACGTTCATTTGCATAGCATTAATGTTCTCTGAGCATCTTTCTGAGAAGTTGTACATCCAAGGTTAAAGTTAGGTCACTGTATGCGTGAAATTTCCAGATTTCGATATTTGAGCAAGCCCAGAACACAGTAGTTTTGAGCATTTTGAATATGAACAGGAGCAGATAATCATTTCTTGGCTTCATTTAAATTGCTGTGTGATACATATAATAAAAGTGCATCATTAACGGTAAGTCAGTTGGGCAGAGAGAATGAATCCATGTTTCCAACACCAGGTCATAGGATGGAACTTTGCTGACACTCATTTCCCACTCTGACTCCTCAGATCAGGGATTTTCCTTGTTTTTAGACTTTTTCAGGATGGAACCCTACTTTTTATGTTTGTGAGATTTGCTTATATTGAATATATAGTTGCTTATTTAATTATAAATTTGTATGCATTCCATTGGGAAAATAAGCAATAATTTATTAGTTAATTCTATTATTGGTTGATAGCTGCTTGGGTTATTTTGAGATATAGGCTGTTTTAAAAATGTTTGTTTTTATTCTTTTTAATTCTGTGTATGTGTGTATGTATGTGCATATGGGTGTAGGTTGAGGCATTGGATCCTTTTGGAGCTGTTGTTAGAAGCATCTATGAGCTGCCCAAGTTGGGTTGCTGGGAACTGAAGACTGGTCCTCTGCAAAAGCAGTACATGCTCTTCACTGTTGGCTCATTTCTCCAGCTCTGAAGTACAGGCTCTTTCTTGATGCACCAGGAACATTCTTACACACGTGCTTGGGAGAGAACATTCCACATTTTTATCAACATGATGCTTAGAAGTAATTATAACTATGGTTGCTTTTACTAGATAGTAGCAGTTTCCAAAATGGCTGTAAAAGTGATCCTTTCATCAATGTTTCTGAGAAACCGTATCACCTCATTTTCCACATTTGATATTTGTTTGAAATGAAAGGTGTTATCTTTAATTTAGGTGACCTGGTGTGTACCAGTTGTTCTCTGAACAAATCTTTTAGCCACTGCATGCCTTCAGCTCCCCTCCATACTGCTTAGGCTTCTGCCCTCTCGTGAGAATGTTGTTGCTGTTTGATTACTTATTCCAAGCCTAGCTTCTGTATTTAGAAAAAGCTCCGAAAAGCTATGCATTTCTTTCCTCAAGGGCTGCCAATGCCTTTGCTAAGTGAAAGGAAGATAGCAGTTGTATTGGTATATGTTTTGAACACAATTGCAGAAAACCTGAGTCAAATTAATTTCAGACCTACTTTTGAGGTTGAAAAGCCACGTGTGGCTGACTCCAAGGACAAAGATTTACTTTCTCAATCAGCACTGTTTTCCACTGGGTTGGGTCTTTTTTCAGGTCAGTTTCCTTCCTGCTGGACACACAAATTATATCAATAGTTCAAAACCTCCATAGCAAACATCAAACCAAAACAAGTCCAGAAAAAAATGGTAGCTGCAAAACTCTTCTTGCCTTTCTGGGCTCCTTTATACGCCCCAGAATCAGAGCTTCTTGATAGCTCTTGTTTCCCAAGCTCAGGGTGGGCTTGGGGTCCTTCTGCTTCTCATGAGAGTAGAGCAGCAAGGACTTTCTGGGGAACACAGGAATGCTGTTAGCAAGAGATAATGGTTGGTGGCAGACAAGAGAATGTCGTTTTCCTTGCAACTCAGATTATTGGAAAGTAAGGCAGTTCATTGTTCTGCAAATACCGTAGGATTTGCCTGTGGATTAAACAATACTGCTGCAGAGTTGCACATCATCCACGTCTTAGCAACTCTTGTTGCATTGTTCTGGGACTTTCTCTTATCGGTCCTCACAGAAGGGAGATGATACAGCGAGCGGCTCTTTGGAATTCCTTATTATATTGTAAGATATGCCATAGGCCCATTTTACTCTCGTTCAGTCTTCCCGTTATGAGATTTCCTGGGGCGAAAGACCAGCATGAGTTGAGCTTTTCTCAACAGCTTGTGCTGTTATCTTCTGGCTGCTGTGATTTCCAAGCCGCATCGGGATTTTCTTCCTTCTGTTGCTAGAACGACAGACTCAATGTTACAGCTTTCCTCCATGATGTGTGTCGGCCTTCCAAGCTTGGAATGTTTGAGTTTTAACCTCACTCCTTAGTGTTCATTCTCTCTCTCTTTCGGTCTGATCGCTGAGTGTCCCTGTGTCCCCACCACAAACTTTTGGGTGCGTATGCTTTGTAAATTTCATATTTTCTGCAACAAAGTTGAAAAATACTGTTTTGTGAAAATTTCATTCCATACGGTGACAAACGGCCACAAAACGGTTTGGGCTTGGTGATGCCATTTATTGACAGGGCTCCCTTTGTGTTCTAGTTTTAGATGAAGGTGTCGTCAAGCACTACAGGATCCGAAGGCTGGATGGGGGCGGTTTTTTCCTTACCAGGAGGAAAGCCTTTTCGACCTTGAATGAGTTTGTGAGTTACTACACCACAACAAGCGACGGCCTGTGTGTCAAGTTGGAAAAGCCATGCTTAAAGGTGAAATGATTTCGGCTAAGTTCATTCATTTTTAAAGTTAACCTCTTCCTCTCAGGCATTCCAGCATTTGCCATTTGCTGTTAGTTCATAGAAAAATAGTCACTTGGTTGCTTAGAGCAGGGAATAGGGAAATTATGGCCTGCAAGTCAGTATTAACCCATCCTCATTTTTAAAGAAAGCTTGTTTGTTTGTTTATTTTACAGGAGATATGCCAATTCATTTACTATCTTTAATTGTTTTGTGCCCTTATATTAGGTAGAGTTTGGTAGTTGCAACAGAGACATACTTAATGAATGCAGTAAGGCTGACCGGTGAGTTTTACTATCCACAGTGTTCCTATAACCAAATGGACAAAGACAACCAAGGATGCAGATTTTAGAGGATTCAGGCCGTGGGCTCTTGGCTCTGCACACCTGGGCAGAGCATCATGGTGGCAGGAGCTTGTGGTTGAGGAAATTCTTCCCTTCATGGTGATCAGGAAGTATATAAAAGGGGAGAACACAGGAGAGGACCAGGATGAGATACACAGATCTGAGGAGATGCCTCCACTGAACACCCAATACACTCTAGTCCTTGTGTTATGCCCTGCTAGGAATGCCATCATTTTATAGGAACACCAAGGATCAAGCCTTTGATTAGACTCAAGCTCTTGTAACTTCATCGGCCTTGGAAATGCCACCACAGATGCACCTAGATGTTTGGTTAACTAATCTCTCAGGTGTTTCTTAATCCAATCAAGTTGACCATCCAGATAACCCTAATAGTGCTCTGAGGCCTTGTCAGTTTTATTTACTGAACAGTGCGCAGTTTGCACCTAAAAGTTAGTTATTAAATGAAGTAAGTGAGTGAATGGAAAAAAAATGAAATGACAAACATGGATTTGAAAAGTGACGGTTTCATTTTGCAAAAAGATATGATGCATGTAATAAAGACTGCAGCCAAGAGTTCAGGAAAGGCAAGCGAGGGAGGCAGAATTTCTAGTTCAGCTTCACACTGAGAGGACCCATCGAGGCAGGAGGCAGAGAGAAGCTACTGCAGACTCCTGTGAGGATGACAGTGGGTGCTGTGGGCGGGGGTGGATGGACATAGGGCTGTGGGATATGGGAGAGGGTTGGTTTAAAGAGTCAATAGTACAGATTTTAATTTACCATGTTTGGTTTTTAGAATCGGTATTTTCCTATTAAAGTCCAAACCTATCATGTTCAATCAAAATGTTATATATATATTTTTCAGTGTGTGTGTGTGTGTGTGTGTGTGTGTGTGTGTGTGTGTGTGTGTGTGTGCACACTTAAGTGCCACAGTGTGCCTATAGCAGTCAGAGGACAGTTGTGTGTAGCCATTTCTCTACTTCCACCTCTATATGGATTCCAGGAATCAAACACATGTCTTCATGCTTGCATGAGAAGTATCTTTATCCTCTAAGCCAGTCCTGTATCTTTAGTTTTGAGTGTTCTCATTATTCTCTGACACAGATACAGGTCCCAACTCCTTTCGATTTGTCTTATAAAACCGTGGACCAGTGGGAGATAGACCGCAACTCCATACAGCTTCTGAAGCGACTGGGATCTGGCCAGTTTGGAGAAGTTTGGGAAGGCCTGTGGAATAATACCACTCCTGTGGCTGTAAAAACATTAAAACCAGGTAGGAAACCATCAAAGATTAAATGGCATACACTGGTTTGTGTGTGTGTGTGTGTGTGTGTGTGTGTGTGTGTGTGTGTGTGTGTGTGTGACAGATTCCTATGGGTAAATGGCATAGACTTCATAGGACAGCCAGTGCTCACAGTGAGCAGATGTTCCATCATTCTGTCCTAGGTGAGTATAAAGTACATAAAGGTGACTTTAAAATAGGAAGGCAAGGGCATGCTCTCATGTCACTGAAGCTTAAAACACTCCCAGTGTAAGACCCTGCAGGACATGTCTTTTCAAAAGTTAGGATTCCATCTTCCTTTTTTTTTTAAGTCGCCGACTAAACACACAAATCAGATGTGGCGGCTGGAGCTATTGCTCAGGTGGTGAAGTACATGCCACACAAGCTTGAGGACCTGAGTTTGACCCTTAGCACCCATGTGCAAAGCCAGGTATGGCAGCACACTGGGTAGGGGGGCATATTAGGACCCTTGGGGGTTGCTGGCCAGCTAATTCTAGCTGAATCTGAACTCAAGGTTCAGTAGAGATCTTGTTTCAAGAAATAAGATGGAGTGATGGAAGAAGCCCCTTGATGTTGGCCTCCGACTTCCACACATATCCGTACACATGTGCAAACACATCCACATGCATTCACACACACACACACACACACACACACACACACACACACACACACACACACACATACTCAGATGAAAAACTACTGTTATTCAAAGAATAACATTTTTTTTATTAAAGAGGAACTGTACATGATTAAGGATAAAATAAAAATAGTTCATCTAAAAGACCTCTTTTTTATTTTTTTGAGACAGGGTTTCTCTGTGTAGCTCTGGCCTCCTGGAACTCACTCTGTAGACCAGGCTGGCCTCAAACTCAGAAATATGCCTGCCTCTGCCTCCTGAGTGCTGGGATTAAAGGCATTTGCTACTATGCATGGCCTAGAAGACTTCATATTTGTAAAGAAAATAATTTTCTCTTCAATCTCCATTTTCCCTGTAGTGGAATGAGAGTATCCTAAGATGTGGGAGCCCGTTTTCAGGTTCCTTGTGGCTTTAGATCTCCTCATCAGCATAGAGAGGATGATTGGACCATAGGCCTAAGTGCAGGTGTCTGAGATGGTCTGCACTTGGCTGTGCTGGGAGGAGGTCTTTTGCTCCACCCCTTGGCGTCTTTATAAATACCCTGGGGCAGCAACAGTCATGGCCCGCTGGAATACGTTCCAGGCCCTCTCAAGTCTACCCTGTATTTTCTGTCTGTTTATCTTCACAACCTAAATCCTTCTATCTAATATTTCCTGCTGCTCACATTCAAGAAAACTCTGGGGGAACTGTGGAGTTGGTGGGTAAATGCCCCACACTGAGATCAATATTTAGTCATGCTGGTGTTATTTTCTCTATTTTAAAGGTGAGGTTAGGTACTTTAGAGAGACTAAGTAACTTTCCTAGCGTGGACTATTCTTATATAACCCAAGCAATTGTCAAAAACACTGCATTCCTCAGTTACATTGCTTGAGAATGGAGATAATGCTGAGGCCACTCTAGCAGAGTTATTACAAAGATAAAATTAGGTTATTAACAGAGACATAGTGTATAGTGTCTGGTTCAAAATCAATAATGAAAACAATATATTGTTATTGTTATTATATCGTGAGTAAGCGGCAAAGTTTCTGACCCACATTTGTCACGGTTGTATCATACTCCATAGAAATGACATTCTGTGAAAGAACAACCTGAGGCTCTGGCCATTTTGTATCTACCTCTAATAACACTGTGAAGATCATAGACTACCGTGCTCTGCAGACCTTTGTTGTTAGTCCATGATGCTTGAAAGTTTCAGAAGCCTCCTAGTGAGTGGCCTTGGGCATTTGGCATTTCTCAGATGCTGGTTTCTGTAGTACCACGCTTCCCAAACTGTGTGCCAAGACCCTTGCAGAACCCCAAGGCATTGACCAGCTGAGGGACATCAGAAGTAAGATCTTGAATATAACCCTAGGTTGTTGTGTTTAAGAAATTCATTTTCAGCTTTTGATAATGTTATGTTCTTTTTGTTGACACCACATTTTTGTGAAATGACATATTTTGGTGTATTCTTTGATAATTTCATACACGTATATAATGTATTTTTTTTATCATCTTCACATAGCCCATTAAGCTCTCAATTCCCCCTTTTCTCCCATTGAATTGTTTCTTCTGCCCACAACTACCTCTCCTATTTTCATGTCTTGTTTATTTTGTGTGTGAATGATGATCAACTAAGTTTAATCAGGATTGCTTGCAAAAATATGGGTGTGAGTGATATTCCCACTGGAGCATGGAAAACTCACCAGTGGCCATACCACTGAAGAAAAAGATTCTCTCTCCCCCAGAAGCCAGTAGCTGTCAGTAGCTCCCCAGGAAGGAGTAAAGATGAGCCCCTGCCCTATCCATAATAGAATATAGATAGACCCAATTGTGAGCAGGTCCTGTACAGGCAACCATGGTTTCTGTGAGTCTGTGAGGGCAGCAACAGCCATGCCATGTTCAGAAGAGAGTGTTTCCCAGGATTCCTGCCTATCCTCCACTCTTTCTCTCTTCTAGAATGTTCCCCGAGCCTTGGTGTGGAGGGTGATATGAATGTCCTGTTCAGGTGTGAGCTCTTTGCAGTCACTTACCTCGGTACTTTGACATTTTATGAGTCTCTGCATTAACCATAACCCACCACAGAAAGAAGCTTCCCTACAGCTGAGAGCAGCACGAATCTAGGGGTACAGACATAAACGTTTGGGAGGCAACTTGAGAGCATGTCCTTTTGGTAAAACAAGAGAAGTAGGTTTCTTCCTAGGGCCTATGAACCTACTAGCCATAGTTTTTTTTTGTTGTTGTTTCTTTCTTTCTTT